CGTCTATTTGTTTGTAGGCAGTTTAGGTAGAACCTATTTCGACGATTGTACGATATGTCGCATCCGGGAGCGAAAGCATCGACCAAATTGGTAACCGAGCGGTATGTTTGGCCGTCGGTTAAGAAAGATTGCCGGCAGTGGGCAAAAGCGTGCCTTGACTGCCAAAGCGAAAAGATCACGAGACATGTCGCGGCGCCGCACAGTGGGCGAAATCCGCATGAAATGGACACATTTCGATAACTCAGTGAAATCTACAGTAAATTTTCTGAAAATTCTCTAGGTTATTTTGGTCGTAGATTTCAAATTTTTAATCAAAATGATCAAATTCAAAATGGCCGATTCAATATGGCGGACCGAAAAATCAAAACTGAATGGATATCTTTGAAAATTTGTATATATGAGTTATTGCGGATGCTGATTTTGAATTTGTTTTCGAAATTATGGAATTCAAAATCGATGATGCAACCTGGTGGAATCCGGAAAATGTGTACAAAAATCGATAACTCATTAAGTACTGAATGAAATCAAGATTTTCAAAGCAATTTTCAATATCTAAAGATTCATCAGAAATAGTGTCATAATTAACTGAATCTTCTGAAACAACATCATCATCATTTTCATTGTTAGTTATATTATTTATATCGACCCACTTGATTAATGTTTTCGCTTCGGTTGATAATTCTTTTGTCATTTTATCTTTTTGTAATCTATTAGCACTAATACTAGGATCCGACGAAATAAGAAGATAATTCATTATGGGTTCATTATTGCTTTTACAAGAACAAGTTCTACTATTATAGCGTCTAGCAGCTTTAAATACTTTATTTCCAGACTCTTAAGCCTCTTCTGAAAAATAGTCTATAGGTAGAACCAACTTTCACATAATATTACTACCATGTAGTAGCACTTTATATACAGAAGGGGGCATCCTGTACCATCCGTACAAATTAATAAGTATTTTCACAGTTTCTTTAGCACATATTTCAAATTTTTCCAAATCTATTGTAAAACCGCTTGCCATTACATGTAAAATATATGCAAATCTTTCGATGAGTGTCTGATTGATTCCATGTACATTAGAAACAATTGCAGGATTCGAAAAAAACCGCCTAGCAGTATTGCCATCATTGGTTGTACCGTGTCCTTGTTTCACAACATCAACCGTTATAGGTAATTGCGATTTTAAATCGTCTTGAATTTGTTTCTTTCTGTTTTGTTGTAACATTTTATTATTTCCTTTAGCACAACTTTATTTAAAATCTAGCTTATACGAAATATGTAATAAACACTCCATAAATCGTATCCAGCAATGAAGAATAGATAAACCAAGTTTATAATGTTCTTCGTTAATTTTTAATTCTTTTATATACTGTAAATCATTTATATGTGTTGGACTTGTTCGACAAATATTGCAAGATGTTGATTTCTGATCTGTCAACACGTTACACACTTTACCATCAATCATAAAGTGTGAGCGACTTTAAAAGATTTACTAAACTTATTTTCCACTGAAGGATGCAAATTGTTGATTTCATTCATATAGAAATTGTAATCTAAAATGTTGGATGGTGTTACTTTAGCAAATTTAAATTTAAGCGGCCTGCAAAATCTTATAGACGATGGTCTATCGTTTCTCCATAAAACACGACTATTATCGTGACTGTTTGTTAATATTAACGGGACATAACATATTGTAAATATTGTACTGTCAGACATAACTTTTGTATCATCGTCGTTATTTCTTGACCACTTTTGTTTAAAATTTTGTCGGCCAGAAGTACCATCTATTCCCCACTTCCCATGTAAAGTTAATCCTTTAGTGCCTATATCGAGAAAAATTTGATTCGGTAGTAATTTCATGATTTGAGATGTTGTGTGATCCAGCAGGGATTGCAATTTGAGTTCAGCACCATTTTCAGTTACAGTTATATTTTGAGGCTAACATTTTTTTTAGCAGCCTGAATTTTCGCATAAGGTGGATAAAGTTTATCTCCGAATAAGCGTTTATTATAAGTTCGAAGCAATTCATATTTTCTCCTTGATAGACCCAGGTCTATACAGGGTGTCCCAGAACTGGGGTAGGAACGGAAGAGGGATGATTGGTGAGGTCATTCTAAACAACTTTTTCCTTTGCCAAAATGTTGGTTAAGGCTTCGTTTTCGAGTTATTATCGAAAAACACTGGCCAATCAGAGCGCGCCGTTAGCGCGGGCCGAACCACACGAGTGTTGGGTATGTTCCGCGCGGTCGTGATCAAGTGCATCGGCACCACGTCGGTGTAATAGGATTCGTTGTTCATGAGTAATCAATAATTCGATACAATTATTCTTTTCTTATTTTTATTCATTATCCGATGCAACTTCTATTCAACGAATCCCATCATACCGACATAGTGCCGAGGCACCTGATCACGACCGCGCGGAACATACCCAACACTCTCGTGGTTCGGTCCGCGCTAACGGCGCGCTCTGATTGGCCAGTGTTTTTCGTTAATAACTCGAAAACGAAGCCTTAACCAACATTTTGGCAAAGGAAAAAGTTGTTTAGAATGACCTCACCAATCATCCCTCTTCCGTTCCTACCCCAGTTCTGGGACATCCTGTATACATTGCCAAAATTTTATTTATAAATGCTTCCTCTTCTTCTTCATTATTTGATAACAAATATTTACAGCGTTTTTTATTGTTCGGTGCAACAGCTGCCGCAACTCGTTTTGGCTATATTTGCTACGAAGCTGATGTGACCATCTTTTTTGGATCTTGCTGCTACAATCTTCGTAACATTTGCGTGGACGACCACGACCACGATTCCCTACATTGCCACACGATAAACTATCATTAGGAGTAGTAATAGCAGATTTGGGATGCATCATTTAAAATGATATTTTAATTTTGGTTTCCATAAACTGCGCGTACTTTCTTACAAAGATTGCTCGTGTTCGATTAACATTTGACCAATATTTGGAATATTTGGAAATAAAGCTGTTAGTTACATGTTTTTTTATTTGTAATAGTTACGTTTCATTGTAGTTCTTATCTTTTTTTATATACTCCATTATTGTTTCCAAATGGGACTTTCTTTTATCATTATTATTCCAAATACACTCACATAAAATTTTATTTTTAAGGATAATATCAGCCATATTTTGAATTTTATAAGTGTTAGAGTCGCATCTATATGTGTTCATGTGTGTTTTGGGGATTTCTATTATTTAAGTTAATTGGCCGCAGAGTGCGCCGTAGTCGATCATCTCTTTTCTTTTTTATTGTGTGGTACCCCTGGTTCCTTTAGTCTAGTCTGGCCAGGTCCATGCGTCGCGCGGTAGAACGTTTATTTATCCATTAAGGGCACCGACTCCTTGTGCCATGACCTGTATGCGTGCACTCACACAATCAACGGAAAGCATGCACGTATACGCCATGCGCGAGAGAGACATTCAATTTCGTAGAATCGATTTTTCGTCTTGATAATTGCATAAATAAAATTTTCGCGAGTACAGCACACACGGGTAGACTTCGGCACAGGTCGGTCTGGTCCGCTTGAACGCTAACAAACACCATTCGTTGAGAAAAACCGTATTTTCGAAATTGTAAGATTGAGACAGACGCTGTTGTAAGCAAACAACATGGCTGCCGAATGCTGCGTTCGGCTGCATTTTAGCAAATATTGGACGATTTAATGGTTTTTTCACCGACAGCACACCAGATCGACTTTCCTTAAACTAGCACAATATCACTGAAATTCGATTTTTCACAATTTATCACTTCTGGAAGACGTAAAATCGATTCTACGATTTGCACGCATCAGACGTAAAATAGACATAAGAATAGTTCAACGATTTTCCGTCAGAGGCATTGATGGTATATTTGACCACGTTATCATCAGGGTCGATAAAAAAACAAATCAGTCGATAAATGTAAATTCTAATTTGACACCACCAACGGCTACGCGAATATAGCCACAAGTAAGGCATAGTTGCCGCAACGTACTGTTCACATCTGTTACAAATCGAATCATCAGCTCGAGCCGAGAAAGAGGTCCGAGAATGAAACAATACATATATTAATGTGTGCAACCATAAAACTGTTTAATTCATATTTATAATCATGTTTTTTTAACAATGCAATTAAAGATATGCCAGAAGAATGAATTATAAAACTTGCTTATTTCGCAATATTTTACAAAATAATACACATAACGTACGCGACCATAAAACTTATAGGAATGAGAACTACAGGACATTATTAATTTCAAGAAGGTGAAGCGGAGGTAGTGAGAATGCAACAATTATTGAGTAACTCTTACATTAATTCTAAACGCGTCCTATAAATATAAAACAAATAATCGGTGGCCGATGCTCGCCGGTGACAACTGATCGCGCGGACGGCGTAATACGTGCGAGTGCGAGTGCGAGTGAGAAAGCAAGATGGCGAGGCGGACTGTGTTTTGTCGCACAGAATGACATCGGTTTTGTCTGTCTCGTCGCGAATATTCTCACCCGCGAGTCTGACGCGATTATTCGCCGGAGATCCGCTACGAAGGGAATAAAAAATAAACAGATGTATAATTTCTTGAAATTTTTTATTTATTTATAAAAATTAAAAACGTATTCTCCTCCTCCTCCACGACGGCCTCCTCGTCGCCCTCGGCGCCTGCCACCGCGATAGCCGCCGTGACCACCGCGATAGCCGCCGCGGCCGCCGCGGCCGCCGCTGTATAAAATTTTTTTTAACATCTACTTGATCTGAAATATAATAATGAATTTTAATATAATTGTAGCGGACTATATATTCCATTATGTAAGATTGTGACATTATTAAAAAACCAAAAATAATCGTGGAAATTCATTTGCTACTATTGTAGAAATGATTTCCGTTTCACGAAAATCTAATTCTGCCACATTCATTACATAGATAAATCAACGTTTTTACTTACTTGCGACGTCGACGCCTTCTCCTTCTTGCTCTCCTCTTTGAAGGAGAAGGCGTCGACGTCGCAAGTAAGTAAAAACGTTGATTTATCTATGTAATGAATGTGGCAGAATTAGATTTTCGTGAAACGGAAATCATTTCTACAATAGTAGCAAATGAATTTCCACGATTAGCGTTGGACTCAAAATTTATTTTTTCAGCTGAAACAATTTTTTTCTTATTCCCTTCATGAAATTATTAATGTCCTATATCATCTATTTCCATTAACTTTTTCTTTTTTCAATATTTATCTTCATTCATCTTCATTCATTTTTGCATGAACATTTTTGTCGTTGAGAAATTAAAAACAACATTTTCCTCTTCTCGAAATAAATTAAAAAATTATATATAGGTATATTCAAGAAAGCATTACCTAACAGGACAAATGGACTGCGAATATGCTGTTTGATCACGTATAATCGGCAAGTATAATCTTACATAATTAATATTACGTTATCTATACATAAATTGCTTTCTTCACAGATGGACGAGGAAGAAGAAGAAGAAAAGAAAGAGGATAGAAGAAACAGGAGAAAGAGGTCTAAGGAACGAAGTCGGATAAAAGGGAAGAGAAAGGAGAATCCGAGGCCGTCAACGTCGCAAGTAAGTAAAAGCGTTGATTCTTCTATGTAAGAAATGTGGCAGAATTAGATTTTTCATGAAATGGAAATTATGTCTACAACAGTAGCCATTATTATATTTCAGATTAAAAAAATTCGATACCATAGCCATGACTGGGATGGCTGTCATGGTAATCGACGATGCAGACGTCGCGGAGAAAGAAGAGGCAGAAGCGAGCAGTGGGCGGCAGGCGACGGGCGGCCGTCTAATTATTATTTATATACCTATATTGATAATATTTAAATGAATAAATTGTATATATAGATCAATTTACATCTGTTTATTTTCCATTCCTTTTCTCAAATTATTAATGTGTTACGTCCCGGCGGAAAATTTGAAATTTATCCGCCTTGCGTCCCTTATCAAGCCCTTTTGGGTTACGAGGATTTCTCATGTGAGGGGCGTATGGGCGGGTGTTTCGGTTTTCCGCCAACCTTTTCATTCCTCCTCGACCTTGTACATTCTTGTCAAGCCTTTCGAGGTTACGAGAATTTCTCATGCAGGGATGTACAGGGAAGAGTTTGAGTTTAATTCCTTTCTATTTTTGACTTCCTCTATCGCTTTCTCTTCTTTACCTGCTCTACCCTGGAACCGTGTATCTCGTCAAGCTCTTTCGAGGGTTACGAGAATTCCTCATGCGAGGTACACGCGAAAAGGTCGTTTCTATTTTCTACTTTTCAATAGTTTACGTGACCCTCCTTGAAACTATCGTCGCCAGCCATTGTAATAAGAAGCTAATACGCACAAAAACTCGGGTTAGCTCGAGTGAGGGAGAGAGAGAGCCGTAGCAATAACACCAGCGCTACGCAGTTAGCCAGTGCTTCGCATTTCGGGAATTTCCCCTGGTAACTGCGTAGAAACGGGAAAATCGTAATAACTCTTTTGTTAGAGACCTCTTGCTCACTCTGTTGCACAAAGCGTCAGCCGGTCCAACAAGGATCATCGCTACCTGATTGTAATAATAGTATGAGAGAGTGGATGGATGAAACAAATTTAAACAATGAAAGTAAGAATTGAGAACCTTACGAAAGCGAACGTCGCGAACGTTCGACCGCCGTTCGAAAATCAAGGGTCGTTCGAAGCAATAAACACTATTGTATCGGAATTCTAAGAACTGCCTAGCGATAACGGCAAATTTTGAACAAAGGAACGTTCTCGAGGAAACGTTCGCCAGATCTAGAATTGTTTAAAATTTATAAAATGCGAAATACCGAATATATCGAGGCGATAGTTTTAATGCGCGATAGATTGCATAATACGCCACGGCGTTACAACCACCGTAAGCGCATCATCCGCTGTTAAACATATAAAATCATACTGTTTTATTGCAAATCGGGATGAATAATTCAATCACGATATACGAACGACGGTTTCCTATCAAACCCGATATTTCAATTTTAATTTATATTTCAATATCAAATCTCAAATTGCACACCAATTAAACTAATAGTTACATCTCGAATAAATGCCGTTAATTAATTATATGTATAACGAGAAACACTGCGTAGTTTCTGAAAACCGTTGAAACTATCATGGCGACGAATGAGAAAAGGAAGGAACACCAAAGAAAGGGGATGAAAGATCTTCGTCTAGCTCGCGCGTCTTAGCCAATCACCGGGCACGCGACACTTCCGAAAACGGGCTACGATTCGCCAAACCGTCCCCTCCAAGGACGATGTTCGCGCGACGGGCCCTTCGGCCGTCGATCGCGCACGAAATTGGTCACTCTTGATCGATCAATCGTAAGTACGTGATCGGGAGCCCGTGTGTCCGAGAGACAGAGTTATTCGGAAATTCGCGATATTTTCTCTGCGGTAAAGTCCTCCGCGTAGCGAGGCAGAGTGCCGTGCGAGTTAAAATAATCGGTATTCTGAATAAGGACTCACAGACGCGCACGTAAAATCTTCCTTCTACCTAAATTTTCTATCTTTTCTTTCCGATTTTAAATCGTTTGCTCGCGTAGTTCTTCGTACTAACTTCACCCCGCGTAATTATATTCGTTGTAATCGTAATTAATCGTAAATCGTTATTCGTTTGTCTCTCGTCGACGTACTCGTCCGTAATAATCCGTTTCTCGCCGCGACAAGTGCAGTGATCGACGATCTTACCGTTTCTTTGGTGTTCCAGATCATCGAGCGATTACACCAAACCTAGCAAGCCAATTTACCTTGTATTTTATTGTACACCGTAACGGTAAGTCGTTTCAGTTACATTTTTCGATCACGACGTTATTCAATTGGCAAAACGGGCGATCTGGTCCAGCCCTTCAAGGTTACGAGAATTCCTCAGGTCAGATCGTTCCACCGTACGAGGTATTGATATCATCCAATATTAAATACTATTTTCGGTTATTACAATTTCGCAATTCCAGTCTCTTTCCATCATCCGAAGGGCACCTTAGTCCAGCTCTTTCGAGAGTTACGAGAATTTCTCAGGCTGGGGTGCACCGCAGGCGGAAACCGCCAATCGTATAGTTAAATTCGGAGAGTGAAATTGTTATAATCATTTTTACGCGCCCGGTAATATACTCGTCGGTTTCAAATGTGATATCAGAGTGTTTTATATTCATATATATATATATATACCTTGTTAACTAATCTTAAGCATCTTTACATTTGTTCACATTTTTGCAGAACTGGTAATTTTCAATTTAATCAAATTTCTAAATTATTGAACTCATAATTTAGGCAATTACCTGATTTTCATTCACGATTAAACCAGTTTCATTTAGTTAAACAGTTTCCTTTTATTTCGAACACACCTCACACGTTTCAGTTAAAACACGCCTACCAACATACCCAGATTCAAGGAGGGTCCCGTACGGGACCAAGCGCTGAACGAACCCAACGAAAGGCTAATAATTATAATCTTTTAATATCTTATCAATTTTGTCTTTCGTCTTTTAATTTGTCGAGAGCGTTAATACGCTCGAGACTGGTGGCAGCGATACCAACCATCGCGCTAAAATAGGGAAGCAGGAATTAGGGGTTGAATTCCAACCAATTAATTGAAATTTAACTACCTAAAAATCCATTCATTAATTATTCTCTCTTTCCTTTTTACGTTGCGCGCCGTTGCTCGCGCGCAACGTAACAATGCCATGTAGTTTTTATTCGTATAAGTTTTATAGTCGCGTACGTTATGTGTATTACAGAGTCTCATCGAATCTGTCGTCGCGTGTGACTCGAACATATGTATTTCTGCCGATCGGTACTACGTTGTTTCATTCATGATACTCCTTCTCTTTCTATCGCGCTGTCCTTTTCTATGTCCGCCTGGAATTAAAATCTCGCTCGGCTCGAGTGAATTCATTTTGCTAGATGGTCAGGATTGTCACAGATGTGGCAACACCGCGACAGATCTCTCAAATGATGTGATTCGACAACTACGCCACCTCACTTTCGTTTCTTATTCTGCATAATGATGTTAGATGTCACACCGTCAAATGTCAAATTTCTCAATTAAGTGTTTTCATGATTGGCCGATTCTTTCCAATGGCGCTTATATCGATTCGGAGGAGGCCTCGAAGGAGTCTGTGCCCTTAATCATTGTTTCACATTATATTATGTATCGTTCCATATTATTAGTATTAATCTACTGTAGTTTTTGTGCACAATAATAAACTATCAATAAGCAATTTGATTTAGTAACCACAATAAATCGAGAATTCTTGATGAAATTAAGTAAATTAAACCTGTCAAACGGTTACACTTATAGCAAATATAGTACAATTTCAATTGCGACTTTTAAAGTTCTCCTTTACTCCATCTAGTGGACAAAATGTAAAGTTCGAATGTAAAAACGAGCACATTATACGTGGCCTGAAATACTAGTGCGAAATAGTCCAACAATATATTTCACTCATCAACTGGTATATTTATTTTTAAATATATTTATTTGTTAATAACAATTTGTTATTAACTTTAAAATGTTATTAACACATGAAATGAACTTAATTCAAGCTATTTTTCTACAACAGATTCACATAAATAGCCTTTCTTGATTCTGGGTATTCCCACTTAACTGTCTGCATGAAAATACGTACAGTATTATATTATTAATATCTTTTCAATAGGCAAAAATAGACAAACGGGGTAAGGATACTTTAACAAAAAGATTTATCATAGTTTTGTTCAGGCATAATGAGGCAAACTTGTTAAATTGCGCATCGGAAATTTACTTTTTTTATTCAAAATCGAGGTAATACGCTGGTCAATTAGTAAACCTGAATATTTAAAAAAAATATTAAACTTTTTTATCGATACAATGTATAAAGAGCTATATAAGCAAATTTTTTTATAATTTTACATACAACTTTAGCTGTGTACAAGGAGTTTCAACAGACAAAAATATTATGAAATTAAAGGGATGAGCGTTATCGATAATACTTAAACATAAATTTCAACTTATACTTAATAACTTTTAATTAATTTTACTTGTTCTTCATAAACTTTAGGGTATTGTTAAAGACGTAAAATAATTGATTTTGGTCGTTTAAACAAAAGTTAAAAATCGATTTTTGTCCGGATTTCGACCACTGTGCGCCAGTTGGTGAATTTGTAACCACCTCCGCTCGTTTCGAGCATGTACATGTGAACACTGTCGGACCGCTTCCGATATCGAGGCGATATTAATGCGAAGACTGTGGCGCGTGTTTTGATCGATGGGTGGATTGCTAGGTTCGGCGTTCCGCTAACAATCACAACCGATCAAGGACGACAGTTTGAGTCCTATCTATTTAAATCATTGGCGCGGGCGTAAGGGATGGAGCACCACCGGACGTCAGCGTATCATCCGCACTCTAACGGGGCTGTAGAACGTTTCCATCGCCAGATGAAGGCAGTCATACGTTGCCTCGCCGATGGCAGTTGGGTGGACGTTCTACCCGCTGTCTTACTGGGAATTCGAACGACCGTCAAGGAAGATGCTCGAGCCTCCGTGGCGGAAATGGTGTATGGAGAACCGTTGCGCCTGCCCGGAGACCTCATCCAGGGAGATGATACACAGGAGCAGTCGCGTTTTGTCGAAACGTTCCGGCGACACATGAGTTCTTTGCAGTCGGTACAGACTGGGAGGCATGGGGGAAAGCTCGTGTTTATATTCAAGGATCTAGCAACAGCATCTCATGTGCTGATCCGTCGAGACGCGGTTAAAAATCCTTTACAGCCTCCGTATGATGGGTCATATTCGGTGGTGCGTCGCGGGGAGAAGACATTTGTAGTACGTATAGGCGGCCGCAACGTTTGTGTCTCTATCGACAGAATTAAATCGGC